TTGTGTCAATCCAGAAACTCACTACAGATTCTAATTGCAGTGTGACGTTTTATCCTCACCGTTGTATATTTCAAGAACAGGGCACGAAGAGGATGATTGGACATGCTAGGGAGCGGGATGGTCTATACTATCTTGAAGAATCAAATGGACAAAATAAAGTTGAGAGTTTGTCACCACTATTATTTCTTTCCAAGTCATTCAAATCCAATAAAGACAATATATGGCTTCAACACCTTCGTCTTGGTCACACATCGTTTAGTGTTCTCAAAATAATGTTTCCTTCATTGTTCAAAAGTTTATCCATTGAAAATTTTCATTGCGATGTATGTGAACTTGCAAAGCACAAACGTACTTCTTTTCAAATCAACAATAAAAGAACTTTTATTCCATTTACCTTGATTCACAGTGACATTTGGGGACCTTCCACTGTTGCTAATGTTTCTGGGGCAAGGTGGTTTGTCTCATTTATTGATGATTGCACTCGTGTGGCTTGGATTTTTCTGTTAAAAAATAAATTGGATGTGAGTTCTGTGTTTCCAACTTTTTTAATATGGTCAAAACTCAGTTTGGTGTTGGGATAAAGAGATTCCAATCTGACAATGCTAAGGACTACTTTAATCAAATTCTCTCTCCGTATTTCCAAAAACAGGGCATAATACATGAATCCTCTTGTGTTAGCACACCTCAACAAAATGGGGTGGCCGAACGAAAGAACGGCCACCTTCTTGCTATTACAAGAGCTTTCTTGTTCCAAAAAAATGTTCCAAAACAATACTGGGGAGAGGTTGTTTTAACCGCTGCTCATCTCATCAATCGGCTTCCTACAAGAGTCTTTGGTTTTAAAAGTCCAATGCAGGTCCTTACACAGTTCTTTCCCAATTTTAACGCATCTAATAATCTTGTTCCAAAGATATTTGGTTGTGTTGCCTTTGTTCATGTGCATTCTCAAAACAGGGGAAAACTTGATCCTCAAGCCCTCAAATGTGTCTTTCTTGGCTATTCCTCCACCCAAAAGGGCTACAAATGCTATCATCCTCCGACAAGGAGATTTTATGTGTCTGCTAATGTTACTTTTGTCAAACAAGATCAGTACTTTAACGATCCTTATCTTCAAGGGGAGACATCTTTCATAGAAGATAAGGACAAAGATCTTTTTCTCCTTGAGTTTCCAGCCGTTATCTCTCATCAATCCGAGTCAAACATACTCCCAAACATTCAGTACAAGCCAAACATACGGTCAGAAGCCGAGCCTCATACAACCAAATCACAAGGAGTGTTACATGGGAAGCAAACTCAAGACTCTACTCGTCCATTGCAGATTTACTCAAGGAAAAGAGCACCAATCTCTCAACCTGTGCAAGTTCAATCAACCAAATCTGCTCCTGGTAATGTCGAGGTAATTACTCAACCCAATGATAACACCAATGAAACCTCTGAACAAAATGATTATGATGTCCCTATTGCAATTAGAAAAGGAACTCGAACTTGTACCAAACACCCTCTTTATCTGTTTATGTCATATAAGAATCTTTCTCATAACCATTGGGCCTTTCTTACTAGCCTAAATACAGTCCCTATTCCCAAAACTTTATCCGATGCATTAGGAAATGAGAATTGGGAAAATGCTATGAAGGTTGAGATGGAAGCACTTGAGAAAAACAAGACTAGGGACTTGGTGAGACTGCCTAGAGGGAAGAAGCCAGTTGGGTGTAAATGGGTGTTCACAACCAAATACAACTCAGATGGCTCTTTGGAAAGGTATAAGGCAAGATTAGTTGCCAAAGGGAATACACAAACCTACGGCATAAATTATCTTGAGACTTTTGCTCCAGTTGCTAAGATAAATACTGTGAGAATCCTGTTATCAGTGGCAGCAAATTTTGACTGGAGATTACAACAATTTGATGTCAAGAATGCCTTCTTACAAGGCGATCTTGAGGAGGAGATCTATATGGAGATTCCGCCTGGGTTTCACTCAAGTGAAAAGGAAGGAATGGTATGTAAGCTTAAAAAAGCTTTGTATGGACTGAAACAATCCCCAAGAGCTTGGTTTGGGAGATTTACCAAAGTGATGGTGAGTATGGGATATAAGCAAAGTCAAGGTGATCATACATTGTTTGTAAAGCACTCAGCATCAGGGGAAGTGACAGTATTGTTGGTCTATGTGGATGATATCATAGTAATAGGAGATAACTTGGAAGGAATAGAGAGCTTGAAGAAACAGTTAGTGAAGGAATTCGAGATCAAAGAGCTAGGAAAATTGAAGTACTTTCTTGGTATTGAAGTAGCCACTCTCAACAAGGGATTTTTATATCACAGCAAAAATATGTGTTAGACTTATTGGCTGATACAGTCAAGCTGGGATGTAAGCCAATTGAGACACCTATGGAGTCAAACCACAAACTTTGTGATGCTCCAGAAGTCGTGGCCGTGGATAAAGGCTCTTATCAGAGACTTGTGGGGAAGTTAATTTATTTGTCACATACCAGGCCGGATATAGCTTATGCTGTGAGTGTTGTGAGTCAATTTATGCACAATCCCAAAGAATCACATCTCAAAGCTGTGTATAGAATTCTGCAGTACTTGAAGGGTACACTAGGAAGAGGAATTTTGTTTAAGAAAGGGGAAGGACTGACTCTTGAAGCCTATACAAATGCGGATTATGCAGGATCCGTGATTGATAGAAGATCCACCTCGGGCTATTGCACCTTCCTAGGTGGTAACCTCGTTACTTGGAGAAGCAAAAAACAGAATATGGTTGCAAGGTCCAACGCAGAAGCTGAATTTAGAGTGATGGCACTCGGGATATGTGAACTGCCATGGCTAAGGATAATCTTGGAAGATCTGAGAGTCAGATGGGAAGGTCCAATGAAGCTTTACTGTGATAATAAATCAGCCATCAATATTGCACACAATCCTGTGCAACATGGCCGCACAAAACACATTGAAGTGGACAGGCATTTTATTAAAGAGAAGTTGGATAGTGGCCTCATTTGTACTCCTTTTGTTCCTACTGGAGAACAGCTAGTAGACGTGCTTAACAAAGGATTGCCTGGTACCGTTTTTCAGAGAATAACCAGCAAGCTTGGAATGGATGACATCCATTCACCAGCTTGAGGGGGAGTGTGGGAAAATACGATTCTTTCGTTGTATAAGGAAATTGTGTACAGGCTGTTAATAGCTAGGGATTTATTAGTTATTGTAATCCCTGATTTCTAGGGATCAGTTTTTTATATGTATTAATATGTATCTCTAGGATTAGTTAGTTTCCTAGAATAGCATTATTCTGATGTACATATAACAGTGTATTCCTAATTCTTTAATCAATTGATTTGATTACCAATTTCAATAATTTTGTCACATACAAAAAGAAACTAATAAATACAAACCAAATTACAACAGGATCAAAAACAATTCAACAAAGTGGGCATTAATCAAATGTATGATATTTCCATACACAAGCACACATGGAGTGTGCAACTAAGAAGTCTCAAATAAGAAAGTCCAACTTGACATAGTTCAACTCAAGGAATTTAAAGACGATCGCGACTGCTAATAGGGTAAAGACATGGGGTGGCATTGCAAACACGGGGTGTATTAAAGGCTATGTTACAGTATTGACAATTGCATTAATGAAATTTTTCAACAGCACAAACGATCACCAAAGCAAAAGGATACATAACTTTTAACTCCAGAATCTAATAAAAGCCTGCTTTAATGATTCTCAATGGATTTTATTCAATATTTAAAGATGTTTTTATGAGTAATGGCCTATAAATAGTTTTAAGGTGGTGTCAGCAGTAAAAGCTGCAAATATTTGTTTAATGGATGTTGTTGAATATGTGTGTGTGTGTGTGTGTATATATATATATTGTTATGTGCAGCTTTTCAGATTTTTTAATTCACTCTGCTATTCACTTTAATAAAATAATAATAATAATTTAATGTAGACTAACATCTATAAATGATTATGCATTAAACTCGACTACTCGAGTATTTGTCGTTTAATAGTATACTTACGCAAATACATCTTAAATAATAAAACATAAAAATTCAAATAATAAGGTAAAGAAATATTAAATTTAAAAAAACCCAAGAAAATTAAAATTAAATAGTTTCCAATCATGTTTATAATACAACCACCAAAAAAAAATTAATAATCATAAATAAATAAATCATTTCCATGTCATATGAATGCAAATCACTTACCTTCTTCAAATAAATTTGAAAATATTTCAGTAGATCAGGAGATTCATAGCAAGATTCAAGAACATATATATTAGATATAAAGATAGAACAATTTTTTTTTGATAAGTATAAGTTAGAACAAATTTTTTATATGCTTTTATGAAAGATATGGCCAAATCCTGGGTTTTTTGGTTTTTAAAGACGTAGATCTAAGTTGTATGAAAGGCTGTTTCAGAGGATGAAAAACTCAGTTGGAAGTAAGAAATGAAAAAAAGTCGGGGAAACAAGAAACAACTCTTATAGCTGGGTGGCTGAAAAAGGTGCCATCACAAACATTGTGGCCTAACAGCTCACTTATTGGCATCAACTACATGAATACTTCTCCACCACCTAGCTCTATCAAGAGCCACATTGCGAGTAGGAAAGTCTAACAAACCAAAACCAGTTCAACTAGGAGTCTAGGACCCATATTAGAGCATTGAAGAAGTGGAGGAAACTCTCCTATTCAAAATTCATGTTTCCGCTCCTAGTCACACCACACAAGAAATTTAGGATGAACTCTAGATGCCTCTTTGCTACCTCTACAGAACCTAACATCCATTCTATTCGAATAAGGTACATGACCTTGGCATAACCCAAGGCACCCAAAAGAATGTAAACACAATATCCTAGATTAGCCAGTGGCCAGGAAATAGGAAAGGAGATTATCAACTGTCCACATCCATATTACTGATCCTGCACCTTCTAGTTATTTTCAGAAGTTGAAAAACAACCACCACAACTTGTAATCAACATTCTACAGATCATCGTACCTTGGCCACCGAAATTGTGAGGTGGAAGATCTGTGGTGAAATATGCAAATCCCATCTTCTTGAAAGCCGGAGAACAGATTTTGCAGCAGCTAATCTGATGTGAGCCTTGTCAGTTTTACTGCATTAAATAAAATGCACAGCACATGTATAGAACCCTTGTGGCATTTGAATTTGAGCAACATGATCACTAGAAAATCCCATAATGAGCGTAAAATAAATGAAAATAATACAACTTTGTTATCCAGGTAAACTATACACCATAAATAAGGGCAGCATAACTCAAAATTCTGGACCTGTTTATGTCAAGTAGTACCTCTCTCCCTCTCTCCTCACTATTGTGTTATAGTGTCTAGAACCACCTATAATGCACATACTCTAAGCCAACACCCAAACAAGCTGGGTTCAGTTAGAAACTGTAGCCAGCGTGTACCATAGCCCAAAGGTCCAACACTTGAAATTAAAAACAACTGCTTAGAAACTGTTGAAAGATTTAAAATATTAAATTTACACCTTCTCCAATAGCTTAAGCTTTTAGAGTAGGTGGTTGTTAACATGGTATCAGAGCCCAAGGTCTCGAGTTCAAACCTCACCGTCACACTATTAAAAAATTGAAACACACGTGTTGGACTAAAAAGAAGGCCACACGTGAGGGGGCGTGTTGAAAGATTTAAATATATTCATTTTTTTTTGGATAAGTAAAATTTTTTATAAAAAAAGGCTCAAAAGGGGAGCGGATCCCAAAGAGACACAAAGGCCAAAAAAAGCCTCAAGCCTTCAAAGAGGCCAAAAAAGAAACAATCTCCTCTAAAGATGTATAATCTCTCCCTGAAACCCAACAAAAAAGAATGGAAATAATAGAGAACTTAAACAAAGTGACAGGCTTCTCCTTTCCATCAAAATATCTCCGATTTCTCTCCAGCCAAATGCACCACCAAATACAAAGAGGAGTAGCCCTCCAGGCATCTCAAATGAGAGCCCCAACTAAGAAGCCTCTCCAAGCCTCAATCAACCCTCTAGTGGAACAAGGCATAACCCAGGGAACTCCAAACAAACCAAACATCAAAACCCAGCAGTCTCTGGCCATACTGCAGTGTAACAGAAGATGATCAACTGTCTCCTCATCGCGCAAGCACAAGTAACAACGGTTAACCACCACCTGATTCCTCCTCCTCAAATTATCCTGAGTTAAAATCTTTTCCAAAACAGAAGTCCAAGCAAAGAAGGCCACTTTGACGGAGGCCTTAGAACGCCAAACAGACTTCCAAGGGAAGGGGCCCCGAGCATCAACTGAAAGGCACCTGAAAAAAGACCTAACCTCGAACCGACCCTGAGAGTTAGGAACCCAAAGCCAGCCATCCGAATCCCCAACTGTGATCACCTGGCTATACAAACCTCCAACAAACGAGAAACGTCCTCTATCTCCCAATCCTGAAAATGCCTCCTAAACTGAACATCCCAAGTCAGTCTCCTGTTAACAAGATGATAACAGTCAACCACCATGGCCTGTCTATGAGAAGCTATCCTGAAGAACCGAGGAAAAGAGAGAGCAAGAGAAAGCTCCCCACAGCAAACATTCTCCCAAAATCTAATCCTCCTACCATCCCTGATCCGAAAGCGAACATGATTGCGAAAATCCTCCCACCCCTTCCGAATGAAGGTCCAAACCCCCACCCCCCTAGGGCCACGCACCTCAAGAGAACTCCACCCTCCACTGCTCTCCTCAAATTTGCAAGCGATAACTCTCCTCCAAAGCCAATGCCTCTCAACCCCAAACCTCCAAAGCCATTTCCCAAGAAGAACCTTATTGAAAGGCAATAACCTCCTAAGCCCTAAACCTCCACAACGAAATGGACGGCACACCTATTCCCAACGAACCAGATGGTACTTGAACCCCCCCCCCCCCCCCCCCCCCACAAAAAAAAAAAAGAAAATGCGCTGCAACCTCTCAATTATCTCAACCACAGAAGAAGGAATCTGAAAGAAAGAGATAAAATAAGTGGGGAGGCTAGAAAGGGTACTCTTGATCAGAGTGACCCTCCCTCCCTTAGAGAGATATTGCTTCTTCCAACCCGCAAGTCTCCTCTCAAATCTATCCACAACCGGGTCCTAGCACCCCACACATCTCGAAGGGGCTCCGAGAGGCAACCCTAAGTAAGAAATGGGGAAAGAGCCAGTACAACATCCAAGAATCTGAGCAAACATCTCGATCTCAGGGACCTCCCCAACTGGAACCAGAACGCTCTTTCCTACATTCACCTTAAGCCCAAAAACAACTTGGAACCAAATCAAAACACATCTCAAATACCTCAGTTGGGACACATCAACATCATAAAGAACTAAAGTATCATCCGCAAATATCAAGTGTAAAATTTCCAACTGACTAGCCACATCTCTGCCCACCCGAAAACCTCTCAAAAACCCCAACTCAATAGCCCTCTTCAACAATCTACTAAGAGCCTCCATCACAAAAAGGAAAAGTAAAGGAGAAAGCGGATCCCCTTGTCTCAATCCCCTCGAACAAAAGAAAAACCCCGACGGAGCACCATTCACAAGGACAGAGAAACGAGCGTTAGAGATACAAAAATGGATCCATCTCCTCCATCGCTCACCAAACCCCATCCTCTCCAATAAGTAGAGGAGGAAATTCCAATTAACATGATCGTACGCTTTCTCTATATCCAGTTTGCACAAAACACCTGGAACCCCACTACTAAATCTGGAGTCGACACACTCGCTAGCAATAAGAACTGAATCCAAAATTTGACGGCCTCCCACAAAAGCATTCTGAGAATCAGAAATAACACCATCCATAACCTTCCTCAACCTAGAAGCCAAGACTTTTGCAATCAACTTGTAAAAGCAACCCACCAAGCTAATAGGGTGAAAATCCCTAACATCCGGCGCCCCTCCCATTTTCGGAATAAGAGCAATAAAAGTGGCATTCAAACTTTTCTTAAAAGAGCCCCGTGATTAAAGGCGTGGAAAGAACCCATCACCTCCTCTCGAACCACCTCCCAACACTCCAAGAGGAATCTCATAGAAAATCCATCGAGACTTGGGGCTTTATCCCCATTACAGCTCTTCAAAGCGGTCAAAACTTCCTCCTCAGAAAATGGCTCCTCCAAAATAGAGCACTCCTCACTCGAAATAGAATCAAAATGAAGCCCTGCAAGAAAAGGTCGCCAACCAGAAGGTTTAATGAACAACTTCGAAAAAAACTCAGCAAAACCTTTACAAATCTCCTCCTCCTTACAAAACACCTCCCCATCCACCCGAATCCTCCCAATATGATTGCCCCTTCTATAAGCATTGGCAAGTCTATGAAAAAACTTCGTGTTATTGTCACCTTCCTTGAGCCACAACGCTCTAGACTTTTGCCTCCACGAAATCTCCTCCATGATAGCAATCTCAGCAAACTCTGCCTGACACTCCACCCTCCTAAGCTTCAAAGAATCCGTCAAAATACCCTGACCCTCCATCCCATCAATATCAGCAATCTCAAAAAAAACCCGGTTCTTCCTCCAAACAAGATTTCCAAAAACGTCTTTATTCCAAACTTTAAGATCAATCTTCAAAAGACGTAGCTTACCTGTGAGAGAATGACTATGGGTGCCAACCACACCATAGCCCAACCACCAAGAACGAACTCGCTCCAGAAAACTGTCAGCCCGAAGCCACATATTCTCAAATCTGAAAGGGGTTCATCTACTACACAAGACATCACAATCTAACTGCAACGAGACATGGTCAGAAACAGGGCAAGCCAAAGTGGCCTAAACCACATCAGAGAACTTCTCCTCCCAATCACTCGAAACAAGGAATCTGTCAAGTCGAGAGAGGGTAGGAGGAGAGCGACCACTAGACCAAGTAAAGGGCCCACCCACCAAAGGCAAATCAAACAAACAGAAAGCATCAATGAACTCTGAGAAGGCCTCCATGTCGACCGTCCACCTACCACCCGTCGACCTTTCAAAAGGAGAACGAACGACATTGAAGTCCCCACCAATGCACCAATGAAGCGACCATCTCCTTCGAACCTCCCCCAGCTCCTCCCAAAGGTGTAAATTTAAATTTACACTTTCTCCAATAGCTTAAGCTTTTGAAGTAGATGGTTGTTCACAGAAACATGTTGACAAAAATACAAGTACAAAAGATAAATCTAAACAACAGCAGCAGTCGAGTGGCCATTGGTACTGCACAACAACACCTCCAGCTGTATAATTATTAAGAGTAAAAGTCAACAATATATATACACTTTGTTTTGAAAGACAGGACAGGTTCTCAATGCCAATAATAAATTTTTACAATGATGAGAAGTATTTGATGTAACACACGAGAATAATGAAGAATAATGTCTAACTCGTAAAAAAAAAAAAAAATGTGAATCCAATTGCACAAAATGAGATTCCTTAGGTAGTAAAAGACTGCACCTATAAGTGTAGGTTGTAAAAGACTATACCTAGAAATGTTAATCCAATTGCACAGAATGAGATCCCTTCGGTAGTAAAAGACTACACCTAGAACCCATTGGTGAGAAAAATTTGTTAGTAGACTTAGATGGCTTGGACATATATATCAGAGACCTAGTGACGCACCGGTCAAAAGAGAAAGGCTAGTTGTAATAGAAGGTAAGAGGCGGAGAGGGCGACCAAAAACAACACGGGATGAGGTTATTAAAAATTATTTTAAAAAGGCTAAATATAGTAGGTAAATTGGCATGTAATAGAACAGCTTGGAGAGAGAAAATTCATGTGGCCGACCCAATTCATATGAGATTAAGTCAAGGATGATGATAATTGATTGATTGATTGACTGTAAATAACTTTCTTGGTCTTGCCTTTGTTCTTGGGATGCTCTCCCCTTTGAACACTTCTAATGAAATTGTAAATATCCAAACAAAACAAAAAAATCTCAGGCTAGGTTCAATTAGGCTGGTTTCAGAATGACAGACTTGCAGCCCTAAAAGAGACTTACAAAGTGAGAGTGTGGGACAAAATGTCTTACCCAATTTTATATTGTGATTGTGTGGAGTGATCCTCTCTACAAGACCACCTCTTCCTCCCTTGGTAGACTCATGAAGCATATTAAAACTAGTTGATGAGGGTTTCCAACACATTGTAGTACAAGAACCAACTATGGAAGTGTAGCTCAATTGCGTTAAACTAACGAGAATTGGTGTTGATTGACCGCCAATTAATGTCGTTATATTGAAGTATGGTGTGGATTGATATCTTATCATTTTGCATGAACATGTAGGAGTGATGGTAAACCATACAAGTCCTGGTGTTATTGGTCACTCAATCATTGTTCCTTTTATTAATCGATTTTCCTCTACTTGGTTGGACAATCACAAACAATTCACGCAGAAAATATGCATTTTAATCCTGGCATCTTAAACATGAAATTGCATCTTAACACAAGACAACACCATTTTTTGCCATTATACCAAGTAAATGAGAAAGGCAAAACAAAAGGTTGGTTGCAAATAAAGTAATCCAGAACTTTATTTTTTCCTTTTCCTCATTTCTGTATTATATTGTATTCTTTCTTACGGCATGGGAAATTACTAAAACCGAAGACAGAATTGTGGGAGACTGCACAAAGTAACCAATGTAGAGGTACATAAGAAAAGAGAAGAAAAATACAGAAAAAAAAAAAAAAGGGCATCTTGATGCAAATTAAAGCATGATGCATAACCAGAAGGCAGAATTAGAAATTCAGCAATCCTCCAAGAAGTTAAAAGAAAAAAATAAAGCAGTAGGGGTTTATGAATATTTAGTGAGCAAGGAAGTAGCTAGTTTAGAAGTTTTCAAATCGTCAATTTCTTTAACAATCCTACCATAAGATTGTACAGTCAGAAATGTCTCCCTTCTGCAGCATTTGCAACAAAACATCCAACAATTTGTTAATATTGTGTCCAACGAGAGTTCCTCGATGTGGCAAGAAACTTCTGACAAGTGCTTTAAGCCCAAAAATCTGCAAATGGAAGCCCGTTAAATTCAAAACAAAAGAACAAACCAATGCAGCTAAATTCAAAGTTTGGCAGCCAGATACAAGGAAAAGAGCGCTTTTTTCCAGGAAGTTTAAAATTGGCATTCCTGGCATAGTTAATCCTTAGCTATAGCTTTTTTTATTATACTTTTGCAGAAACCACAACAGTTGTGTGAAGAAAAATACAAGGTAAAAAGAACATCAATCATCTAGAAGATAAACTAAGCGGCCAACTCGAGTTCCCGGAGACAGAATAAAACGTTTCCTCCGAACGGATAGAAAACTTTTTTGCACACTATCCCCATGTATTCATTGTTTTACACCCATATGAGGGAGAATTTATGGAAACAGAGTCACCTCAATTAACATTATGGGAAAGACAACCACTACTGAGCAAACATTTATGAAAGAAATTATGTGATATCAATAGTTGAAGATATTAACTTAGGCTTAAAAACATATTACTAACTTAACAAACCGTCACGGAACTTATCTGAAAAAATAAAACAAAATTGGAACAAGTCCGTCTGAATTCATTGTTAGAAATATACAACAAGTGATTGAGGCTTAGTAAGGGTGGCAAAATTTTATACAACTTGAACACGGCACAGGGTTGACCTTAGTCGTTCGTGTCATAATCTTGTCAACCCGTTTAATTAATCGTGTCATGTTTGTGTTTTTTTGGGACTCAGACAGTTTAACCCAATGAGACCCATTTAATTAATTGTGTCAGTTTAACTCGGTTAACCGGTAACGCATTTGAACCCAATTACTATAGACAGCTAGTACTCACCCTAAAGTGAATCCTTCTGCCTCCCAAATAGAGCGATAATACTAATGATATAAATACCCCTACTAACAACCAGAAAACTAATAAGAGAATAATAGCTAAAATTCAGAAGAATTCTAGCTGCTATAGCATTCTCAACATCTCTGTACTACAACTGAATGCCCCCAACCTTTTGCTGATATCCCTGTTAGTCCTTAAAACTTTCTTCCATACACTACCATTGACCGATCGTGTTCATGTCGAGTCAAGAAATGGGCATCCTGTTAAATGGATAGACACAAACACGACACTATTATCATTCGTGTCAAGAATCCTAATACGAACATAACATGGTTATTACACGACTAACATGACATGTGCAGCCCATTTAGTAAATGGGTCAACACTTGACACGACACGAAATGACTTGACAAGACACGTTTAAGTCATTTAACACGAATATGACACGTTTATCCGACACTTAGTTAAACGAGTTAAACGGGTTGATGGGTCAAACACGAGCATGACACATTTAATTACCGTGTCAATACGGGTAGACACAATTACGATCCAAACACAATTAAGCCAAACCCAAACCCACTTATTCCGTGTCATGTTAGCATGTTGTGTCAAAAATCTCCACCCCTACTACCATTCAACTCCATCCATATAAGAGGCCATTACCCGATACTTGTCCCAACTACACAAGTGCTTAAAGGGGAAACTTAGGACAGTCCTAACCTTTGGCATTATATTGTACAAAGTGACAACTCTAGACTCAAACTTGAGCCCGTATACCAGGTCCATCCACGTACTTGGAATGAAAAAATTGATATATCCTAGGCCCCATTTAAATGACGAACAATATCCATCTTTCCATTGGTAAAGAAAACTACCATCTACTGGTCTTTTGTGAAGATAATCATTAAATGACCACAAAGGGGTTGACGATGAAGAGTATTGCCTTAAGAACATAAAACTCGTCAAAAACTCACACCATTCGATTAATGTTGTTGTTGGAACCACTTTCCCAACGGAGTGTATAAATGTATCTCCATGTCCCAAAATGTTGCCTCATCTATGGTAGTGTTACAAAATAATCTTAGTTTTCATCTTGCTCTAGCATTACCCTCAATGTAAAACAAGTCAATCTTCATTATGCAGTATATGACAAGACAAAACCAACTTAGTTGGTTATGTCTAATGTATGCTACTTCAACCATTTCATGAATGAAATTGGATTTAGTTTTATCCTTTTGTGCCTTATAGAACATCCATCTCCACACCTGAACTTCGACCACACTCATTTTGAAAACATGTTCCCTTGTGTTTTGCTAAAAATTGGACTCTAACCTCCCTATAAATTTGGTTTTTGCAACTATTGATTGAACTTTGGTCAAAATTGTTGTCAACCTCCCTTGCGGTTTGCTAAAAATTACAAAGACTTCCTAGCTCTAAGTGGTCATAGTACCGTCAAAATATTTAAGTGGAATTCCCATATTTCCCCTGATTGCAACAAAATGAAAAAGTTAGCCGTACATTTCTCTGCAATGACTTATATGTTAGTATATGATATGACATAAATGCCCTCACATAATTTGATCATATTGATATAAATCTATTATTAAATATATAACTAAAAGTGATATATATTAATATAGATATTAAATATCAATTTCACACTTTGAAACTCAAAAACATTCAAAATATAATTGAAAAGTTTATGTATTTAATTTTTGGGTTGGATACCCACAAGCCCACCAACTAGTATCAGAGTCAGGTCCCAAAGAGCTGCATGTGGACCCAAGATCCCCTAGCTGACAGGAGGACGTGAAGGCCAATGACGTTCCATCCACAAGGAAGAGCCTCGTTCAAGGGACCGGTGACGTTCTATCCACCGGCGTGAGCCTTGTTCAAGGGGGGGATTGTTTGGTAGTTGAACGAGTCCCAGAACGGTTAAAAAAGAAGGAAATCCAGGACAATTAGAAAAGATGAATAAATTTGGTACAATTACAAAAATGAGGGCATACCAGTTTCTGTGCAGCAAGGGTATGCCCTTGCTTTTTCTGTTCTCCCTTTTGTTTATTGGCTTTTCCATGTGAGGGTATGCCTTCATTTTTGTAATTGTACCAAATTTATTCATCTATAAAATTTTCCTCCACTTAAGAAAAAAAAATATATATTATATATACATTTAATTTAAAACACTAAAATTTGAAGAAGAAAAAAATTTTATATTGTAAATTATGTAATTACAAAATTTTATTGTTAAATTTAAAAAATTTATTCAGAAAAAAAATTACAATATTTGTAAAAATATACAAATTCAAATTACTTACATCTGAATTAATATTAATTTAGTACATGTGAATTATGTATACGCTAATAACATTTCAAAATTAATTGCAAAATATATATTGATATTATAGTATATAGACTAATTTCTAGTAACCATGTTATATTAACCATCCTTCATTTTATGTCTATCCATACCAGTTAAAAGAATTTATATCATGTATTTCCAATTTTCCTTTATGTCCTACCTAATTTCTAGTAGACATGTTATATTAACCGTCTTCCATTTTTTTTTTTTTATAAGTAAAATATATTAGAAAGCATTCAAGAGGGGAATGCATCCAACATTCCAACCCTCTTGTGATCGTTGGGTGTCAAACAATTCACTAGTCATGTCTTGGTTGCTACACTCCATGCAACCATATATCGATTGTATATACCTTCTTGACTCAGCCCATAACATTTGGACTGTTGTACCTCAGACTAACTCTCAGTTGAGGAATGATGCACAAGTCTATGAATTATGAAAGAAGGTCCATGAGAACAAATAGCGAGATATGCCTATTGGAATATTATTAGGACTTTCAAGCAGAATGTGCTAGTAAAAGTGCCAAATTTCAAAACTTCTGAATAAAGAGCATGTGTGTGATTTATTTTCCGTGCTTAACATACACTATGATCAGATTCGTATTCAGGGGTGCTTGGTAGGGATCCTTTCCCATCTTTGAGGCAAGCTTATGCATATGTCCAGCAAGAGGAGAGTCGTAGGAGTGCCATGATTCACACTATGACTCAGGATCGCTATGTTTTAGCTTCTATCTCTCACAGAAACCAGCGATCACGATAACGTGGTGTTGATGGCAAGAGTAGGGGTTCTGAGAAGGACGTATTGAAGTGTGACTTTTGTGGTAAGACAAAACACACTATGGATCATTGTTGAAAATTTCATGGACGTTCCATTACAGGTCGAGATGGAGGACAGTTTGGCTCAACAAGGTCCCATGCTCATATGACGGAGGTTTCAGAGACAGCATCTAAGCCAAACAGTGGGGACGCTGCCACTCTCACTGCAGATGAATTGCAGACACTTCAAGGCTTGATGGCTCGCTTCAGTACTCCATCTGCCTCAACTTCTGATATAGTCTCATCTTTATGAAGAGTCCAAGTAAGATTCTACCGATTCTATACAATTTTACTGTGCATCTAGTTTAGCCCTGTTTCTTTGGGTTGATAAACTGTTTTGTTGGGTTGGGCTCTTTCATTAATAAAGCCCAACGATCTTGGGGCCCAAAACATTAAAGATAAAGATGAAAAAAAAGGCACAAAACACTTGAGCCCTAATTCAGAATTTCAGACAGCTGCTCTTCTTCGATATCAAGCCTTCTTTGTTCTCACGAACTGCTTCAACACTCGACAGACTCCAAAATAAAGCTGCTCTTCGACATCAAGCCTTTAGTTGGTTTCTTGTTCAGTTGTTCCCTATGCTACATGGACTCTTCAAAAGTAGTGAAGTACCCGTGTCGGACACATGTTGCTGGACATGAGTATGAGATATGTGTCCGACACTTTTGGTTGGACATTTACTTAAAAAGCACATCCAATCATTCAATTATATTGTATTATTACTCTAAAATGACTGAAAAGCTTGCATTGAACACTAGTTGATAAAAATATTAGTTTTCTCTTGGAAATACAATAAGCTAATTAATGCAATCAGCTCTGAAAGAAAAGAAATAAACCTGAAGAAGGGAAAACAGAGAGCTAATTCAAGCTAGAAAAGTAGCTTTAACACCCACAACTCAATCCCAAAGAAAGGGAGAGGTAAAAGGCTGCTGTAACAGACTGACTATATTGAAAATACGTCAAAAGCTCCTGATTACAACTTAGAACAACCCTTTTATAAGCCCCAAGGGATGCCCTA